GTGTTTCAATAATGAAATTTTTAGAAATTGACTTTTAGCTGTAAAAAAAGCGTTGCTTGTACCATTTTTTTTTTATTTTTTGCTTCTATTTATGATTTGCCTACAATTATGCAGTTTCTGAAAAAGTTCAAATAAATGTCTGATTTTGTTGAGGGATATTTTTGGACTATTTAAGTTTTTTGAAGTTTTTTTTGGTGGATACTGCAACAGCACAGAAAACTGATTGGGACAAAACAACTGGCAGTTAACAGTATCCGTATGATATCGTCATTTTTTTCTGATTTTAATTTGTCAGTTATTACCCTTTTTTTCTTTTGTCTTTTGCTATTTCCTATCTTAGTGACATTGAAAATGCTATGATATAAAACAATAAATTTTTTATCACATAATCAATAAACACTGTTTTTTGAAGAGGCAAATAAATTTAACTATTGTTGTAAGAAAACAAAATAAATAAATATTTTAAAACACACACAGAAAAAAACAACAAAAATGTTAATAATACAGCAAAATTTATGGAATGCTTTAGAATCAATAAAAGTGTATGGAAGGATTAAAAAGATAACCTAAAAATTATGTAAACTTTTTTATTATGCAAATTAAAAAGTAAAATTTTTCTCTTTTTCTAATTCAATATAAAAAGTTTTCCACATCAAAAGTAAAACTTCATTAATATGCATTGCCACATTGACGATTGATATACATATAAAGAAATAATATACAAATAGCAACAAAAACGACAGAACTGCTCGCCACTTTTTCATCCATTCATTTGTCTATCTATTTAATTTTATTTTACCTTGTTTTTTTTTTTGTTTTTTTAAATTTATACTTTTCATCTCTTTTATTCGAAGTATAAATAGCACAAAATTTTGAACATCTTTGATGTGACGGTAATAGCGCTGATAGTGTAACCAAATAACGGTGCAATAAATTTTCTAAAAATTCATAAAATTAATAATAATTGATGTTTCAAGTTGAAAACTTTTTATATTTTCGATCACTTTATTTCTATTCATTGTTCTTGTCACTGATTTTAGCATTAACAGAATAGTTCAGGGGCTTTGGATCAGCTTAGAATTTCTAACTAAATTTGTCTACGAGATAGGTGGAGAAGCAAAAAAATTGCTATATTTTCTACTGTATTAGTCTGCTTTTTTTTAAACACATTTTTTTTTGCTGCTAACAGTTTTTCATTTAAATTTCATTTTTTTTTTCAGATTTTTTGCCATTTGAAGGTTAAAATAATCTTCAGTTATATTAATAAAGCGATTACAATTAAAACAGTATCCTGAATTTTAACAGCACTGATATGCAGAGTAACAGTTACGTCAGCATTATACCTTCCAAAAAAAAAATTTTACAATTACTACTACCAAACAGTTACTGTTTTATTTACTACAAACCTATTTTTTTTGTAATTACAAAGCAGTTAGTTCCAAATTTTTTTTTTCCGCTTTATATAATTACTTTCGTGTATATGTTATCATCTAATTTTTAGTATATTTGACACATATTGCCCTTAAAACCTCTTCAAATTTTTGCTATTTCTCAACAGATAATATTCTCTTCTGTATTGCTTATTGAAATACAGATAACATGTGACAAATTTTATTTTTTTTTTTCAAATTATGCTTAAATTTTATGAATTAATTGTAAGCGCAATTTAGAATGGTCAAAGTTAGGCTTTCTAAAGCAGAAGATAAATAAGAGTTTAGGCAGCAGAATTTGACCAAAAAAAAAAGAAAAAATTACCAGCGTAAATTGACGAAATATTATCTTCTTAGTAGAAAAAGGTGGGCATTCTACTATAGTAATTTTAACCTTTAATTTATGCTTGAATATGAATGAAATAAATGTAAAGTCGTAAAGAAGAAGGAGAACAATTAACTGCTGAAAACTAGGTTATAAATCTCAGAAAAAGTGTTTTTTTTTTCTAACAAAAGGTTAATTGAAAAATGTTATTGCAAAATGCAGGAAACCGTTGTGGAATTACGAAAATCAAAGTTCACCAATTTTGCGATGAAAAAAAAAATGGAGGAGTGCTAACAAATTCAATAACAACTAATAAAGATATATGATTTCAAAGTGCAAAAAAAAAGTCAAATTAAAAATTATATAAGTAGTCAACAAAAAGAAAAAAAAAAAGATTGAACAGAGAAAAAACGTATCATTATTCCAAAGCAAATGTAACGTAAGACTTCAAAA